GGATGCGCTTAAAACAAGTACTAGTATCCAGACCCGTGCCTTAGCGTGGTTCTGCATAAAACTTGGTTCTGGATACATAAAAAGCTCTCCTATCTTACATCCCCATCAATTCCTCGATACGCTATCGGATTTAGAACCTTGCCTGGCTAGTTCTATGCCTGAATGGGCTAGGGTTTGGGATAGGAACAGGTACAGTTCTAGGTATCTCAATCCGAGGGGAATATCCAGGACCGCACTTGAGCAGAGTTCTGTATAAAGCACGGTTCTGGATACATCACTCCGCTATCTTACCTCTCCATCTTTTCCCCAGTACTATCCCAGGCTGTGCGCTATCGGTGTGCAGTGACGCAGCTAGGGCCTCAACCCTAGCCTCTACCAGGCTTCGGGAGGCGGACAACTGTTCTCTCCAGCAGACCAACTCCCCTGCCATACTATTTCTCTATTTGGCCGATTTCTACTCTTTCTTAGCCTCCTGTGCAGGCTCCAGGGCGTGTGGAAACGTTTTGTAGAGAGAGAAGGTTCCATTCCGTGGGCGGAATGGAAACCTTCTCTCGGCGGCTGGTTGTAGGATGGCGTTAAAAACTCTACAAAACGTTCCACTCCGCCCCGGAGCCTGCACAGGAGGCTAACTCTTTCTAGCCGCCTCCCGAAGCCTGCTAGAGGCTACAGTTCCCAGCCCTATCCCCTCATGTGTGCTATCCGGTCCTTAGGCTTAGCCCTAGCCTATACCAAGCTTCGGGAGGCGGCAAAGTGGTATTTCCAGCCGCCTCACGAAGCCTAGTAGAGGCTACCGTGCCCCGGCTGTGCGCTATCGGTGTGCAGTGGAGCAGCTCGCCGGTCCTTAGCCCGACAATCCCCCGCCAGCCCGGGCCCCGCCGCGCGGAAGTCAGGATCAGGGCGGCGCTTTTGAAGTCAGAACACCTAATCCTCAACTGTGGCACGGACTAGCACAGGCTATTAACACTGGCAACGGCAGGGATTACAGCACTGGCCGTGATGATGGACAGAGGGAAGGAGAGAAGGGATAGAGAGGAGGAGAGAGGGGTGGAAGGAATGAGAGAGGAGGAAAAAGATGACAGCACACATAATCCTCGACTGTGGCACGGAGTAGCACAGGCTATTAACACTGGCAACGGCCGGGATTACAGAACAAGCCGTGATGACGGACAGAGGGAAGGAAGGAAGGGGAGAGAGAATGTAGAGGATGACAGCACCCCTACTATACCACAGGCATGAGCCCGCACTTGCATCGGCAGTGATTAGAAATGGACAAAGTGAAGGGTAAAAGATGGATGATGGAGGGAGGGAAGGAGGGATAGAGATGGTAAAGGTCTGTGATTTCGACGCTGCCATGTCTGGTAACTGAAATGTGATGGACAGAATGAGAGAGAGGGAGAGAGGAGAATGAAGACAAAATAATTGCAAGAAAAAAAGAAAACAAAAATGAAGAAATGCACCTAATGGATACAGAAGAATATTGCACATAGAAAAAACAGTGACACCTGCACTTACGTACTTTTAAATGTCTCGATTTACGCAGATTTTACACCATGTTTCCTAATAGCTTTCCTTACATGTTTTAGTTACAAGCTATTTTCTAGCAAACATTAACAGTTTTTCCACGCGTTCACAACATTCCATTGATTTTAGGCGATCTGCCCGAACTTTTAAGCAAAAATACTTCCTTCTATTATGAATACCAACATAAGTATGCAATGTTTGAAAGGCTTTAAATCAAATCCGTAGAGTCAACATATTATAGACCCGAATACTTGTCCTCTGTGCCAGAAATGTTACCGACACTTGCTCTTATATTACAACAATGCGCTTTGGCATGTTTCTATGTAAATCCGATATTATTACCATGTATTATAAGCTCCATCTGTTCTTCGACTTTAGAATGTGCTTTGGTATGTTAACATGTTCCTATGTAAAACAACAATGTGCCTTGGCGTGTTAACATGTTCCTATGTAAAACAACAATGTGCCTTGGCGTGTTAACATGTTCCTATGTAAAACAACAATGTGCCTTGGCGTGTTAACATGTTCCTATATAAAACAACAATGTGCCTTGGCGTGTTAACATGTTTCTATGTAAAACAACAATGTGCCTTGGCGTGTTAACATGTTTCTATGTAAAACAACAATGTGCCTTGGCGTGTTAACATGTTCCTATGTAAAACAACAATGTGCCTTGGCGTGTTAACATGTTTCTATGTAAAACAACAATGTGCCTTGGCGTGTTAACATGTTCCTATGTAAAACAACAATGTGCCTAATGTAAATCTGATACCTCTAACACCAAAACAGGATGTCCAACTGAAACTCAGGTATTTTTCTTATCCCCATTTCCATACCGCCTTACGCCTGTGTGAAAGCCAACCCTCCTTACCCACTCTAACGTGAAATGTTATACATTACAAACAAAGCGCGGTTAAAACATAGGAGACGATCGACTTGACAACAAAAGGGAGTTACATGGAAACACCAGTCACCACGGGGAACGACCAACATGTCAGGCCAAATGGAACATGAAGATTTAAATGAGAGATTCGTGTGAGACATTGATTGATTGATTCCGGTGATTAGGAAGGAAAACATGGAATTGGCGGATACTGTGGCATGCGAATTGAAGACATTCTTGTTGGGAGAGTACTAGCTGTACCGTAAAATTCAACTGTACATCAACTATTTTCCTACATGTACCGATAAGAATATAGAACTGGTTCACACTGTAAGATGCAATTTAAGAGCATTTTTGTGACAGTTTTACGTAAATGTATCGTTCAAAATTCAGCTTTCTTGTTACTGAAAACGTTTTTGTAGGTTCTGTCATATGTATATGTTGTATCCAGGACCGTGCTTTATCCAGAACCATGCTCAGGTACGTATACGGTTCTGGATTGTCCACGCGTATCCAGAACCGTGCCTGGAGCAAATCTACATTCTTGGATATATGCGGAGACTATCAAGAACCGTACCTGATCCTAACCCTAGCCAAGGACATTATATAATGTCCTTGCCCTAACCCATTCAGGCATAGAACTAAATAGGCAGGGTTCTGGATACAATACCATAGCTTCGCTGAAAATCATATGACCAAAAAACGTCATAATACGACGTTGTGACAGTGGTTTTTCTCTACTAACCTCTACCAGGCACCGCGGATCGCTGGAAAAATAGTAGAAATTGGCAGAAATAAAAGGATAGTATACCAGAGAAGATCCCGGGCCATAGAAGCTCCAATTTGCGACCCACTTCTATGGCCCAGGATCTTCTCTGGTATACTATCCCTTTATTTCGGCCAATTTCTACTATTTTTCCAGCGATCCGCGGTGCCTGGTAGAGGCTAGTTTTTCTCTTCGCCTGGAGGCTGGAGTGAGAAAGAAGAAACGGTGTTAAGTTAGAAAAGGGGAAGGCTTAGACAGGTTTATTCTAGATAAGGTTTGCCGAGGCTTACAGAGTGGGTCCGTGTTTGAGTAGTGGGTAGGTTGTTTGTAGTGCGGGACGGCCAAGCGTGACGTGATGTATGTGTGCACGCCTTGCGACAGTAGCGGAGATGCCCGGGACCGATAAACACGTAGGTATGATCATCAGAACGCCAAGTAGCCGACAAGAGGGCATTATGCACTGGATATGTGTATAAGTGAGAACTTCATGTACTTGTGTCATTAGCCTTTGTACACTTGAAGAAGCCACATAAGCGAAACCGGTCGTGTGACAGGCTGAATAAAATATTTTGTTCGCTCCAAGCAGAGATTTGGTTTTAGCCTGGTGTATGTGTGCACGCCTTGCGACAGTAGCGGAGATGCCCGGTACCGATAAACAGTTAGCCTCTAACAGGCTTCGGGAGCCTTTTTTTTTTATTCCAACATCTAATCACAAGACGCGGTGACGGCACACTAAAGTTTTTTCAACTTATATTAATGCCGCCACCCACAACACATGGAACAATACAACCATTTTCACCTGAGCGAAGTTAGGAAAGTCGTGTAAAGTGTAAAGTGCCTTTCCCAAGGGCACAAGATCGGTGGCATGTCAGGACTCGAACCCGGGACCTCTTGATTCCGAGTCGAGCACTCTGCCGCTACGCCACACGACCCCACCCCGGCAGGTGATTGGGAAGAAAGTTATCTCTCTCTCTATTTGGTCAATTTCCGCTCTTTCCAGTCGCCTCCCGAAGAGGCTAGCGGAGATGCCCGAAACCGCAGCAGCGGCCTCTACCAGGCTTCGGGAGGCGGCTAGAAATTGGCCAAATAGAGAGATAACATTCCAGGTGCGGCAAACTATACTCTCTAGCAGACCATCTCCCCTGGCATGTTATCTCTCTATTTGGCCAATTTCTACTCTTTCCAGCCGCCTCCCGAAGCCTGGTAGAGGCTAACACACTGACACTTAATTGGAATTCTAGGTCACGCGATTGCTTGAGCAACACTAAGGACACTTTAAGAACAAAGAACTTTCCTTAAAGATCAAAGAAATCTCCTGTAACTTCTTGCCTCCGTTCTTGACACGAAGACCCTAATTTCGGTGCTCAGTGTAGCGTAGTGTAACCAATGACGTTACACTCAGTCATCCGGCAGGACAGAATTATGAATGAACTAGCGAACAGGTGTACAACATAACAGGGGGGGTGGGGCTATCTTCTTAAATATCTTACCTTCTTCTTCAATCTACCACCAAAGTCTTGAAGAATGAAGGGAAGGAATGAATGGGTGAAGGGAGAAATAAAGGGTTGGGGAAGGAGTGAAAATATATGGAGTAGAGAAAGTGTGTTTTTGTAATGGTGTTGAAGCGTGGAGTAGAACAGATGTCATGTTTTTCTTCTTCCGCGCCGCGTTTTTTGATTGGTTGATTCGATCACGTCCCCGACGGGGTGCGTGACGTTCTCCGCTCCTATTGGTTGGTGAAGTTTCTTGCTTTTCCCTGATTGGTCGAGCGTGACAAGTGGGCGGAGCCTAATTCCACAAGTGCGTGGGACAGCTGTTGGGAGGTGCGCGGCGGGTTCCACCCTGGAAGGGCCGTGTGATAAGCTAGTTAGTCCTCGCCGTGTCGCGTACGTACCCCACCAGCTGCAGCACATACCACAGCCCGTGCCGGGCATTCGTGCGGAGCGGACTGCCGCTGGAAACTCGGCGGCGCAGGAGAGCGACTCGCCCCGAAGGGCACCCCGTGAGCGACCCGCTGCGATCATGTCCTGTATCGATGTGATGTTTCAGCCGTATCAGCACCATTTTTTCTCCCACCCGGCCCCGACGCAGGTCTGTCCCTTCCCTTACTTGTACTAGATAAATAGTACTCTTCATTATAGCCGGGTTTGTTTGCGTAGAAGGCCCCGTGTAGACTCCACGGCTAGCCGATAGTAGCTGGTAGCACGCCACAACCAGACTAGTATGTGTGACGCAACTGTGCCTCCCTAAATCTAACCCTCCCCACACACTCAAAATTAATCTCATTGTGAAATGAAATATTCGAGAAATTTTCTTCTCCGATTGTGTGTGATTTTCAGCAGTTCGAGCTCTATCGGAAGATGCAGGAGTCCACGTTAGGGCTGAGCTCGACGGCGTCGGCCTCAGCGGACTTTGCGGCGCACTCCGTCGGGCACACCTCCACCGCCGCCCCGAGCACTTCAACTGGAGCCTCCGGTGCCGCCGCCACGGGCTCGCGAAACCACAACAAGGATTCCGAAGCTACAAACTCTGCCACCACCGGCGGTAACAACGGGGGAGAGAAGCCTCCCGAAGCGGAGTACATTAACTCCAAGTGTGTGCTGTTCACGTACTTTTCCGGGGACTGTAACTCCGTAGTGGACGAACATTTCAGCCGCGCTCTCAGTCAACCCTCGAGCTTCGGAACTGATACCACCGCCTCCGCCACCACGTCAAAAGCGGAAACTTCCGCATGGAAAAGCGGTAAGTGTGTGCTATATTTTTTTAACGGTGTCGCTCAATGCAAGGCCAATTGGCCACTTCTAGGCATAGAGCTAGGGGTATAGAACTGTAACAGCAACTCTTCTCCCTGAGTCAGAAACATCATGATTGAGACCAGCCCAATTTCTCACAAGTAGTGAGGACTAACTGACCCAATAGGAGAAGCAGGGGTTACGAGGCTGGTCGGGAAAATATCAATTACTCCTACTACTAGTGTACTAAACACCTTCATGATTACACCTTTGTAAAGACATCGCCGATGTCTAAAACAGGCTATCGGAGACCGATAAAAAACGCGTTAGGCCACAGCGGGTAGCCCGTCCCGGAGGTACACTGGTGTTGTGATAGTCATACCGTATTAAGCTTTTGCAGACGACGTTTTTTACTCGCGTCGCAAATACCAAAATTATCCTCCCTCCTCTTAGAATAAACTACGCAACACAAAAACGCTACCGTTAGCCAGTGTAGGTTGAAAATAGTGGCAATGTTACGCTACAAAATTGTGGCATAATTTCCCGTAGCTGTGTAGCGAGCAGTCGCCACATGAGGCGGACAAATGTTGCGCCCCTCACAGGGCACACACACAGAAACACACACACGCGCACACAGGCTGTACCATCTATCTACTAGTATCGCCGCTAACTGACACACACCACAAGTGTAACAACAACTCCTAAACAGTACACTACTACAACTGTCCTGTTGTGTTGTACAGGGAAGGAAATGTCGCCCTCAGTAATCGGGGTAACATTCTTGCGTCGCGCGATCCCGGCTCGACTTACAGTCCTAACGAGACACGATATTGACAACTGTGAGCCGACGACACACTTATAACTGTAACATCACACATATCTGGTCTTACATTTCAACTATCACTATAAAGAATTCGCCTACTAGAGTACTAGAAGTATTTGTGCTAGCGTAGTTAAGGGTGTATATCTGCAAACTATTCAGTGGGTATTTATATGTACAAACAGGTCTTAAATTAATTCTACGGTTATTACGGACGTCTATAACAGTAACATCACACATATCTGGTCTTACATTTCTTTTCACTGTAAAGAATTCGCCTACTAGAGTACTAGAAGTATTTGTGCTAGCGTAGTTAAGGGTGTATATCTGTAAACTACTTAATTCAGTGGGTATCTATATGTACAAAAGGTCTTAATTCTACGGTCATTGCGGTCTATGACAGTAACATCACACATATCTGGTCTTACATTTCAACTATCACTATAAAGAAACTTCAGGATACATACTCTGTAAACTAGTCTTTTGTAGTGCCCTGTACTTAAGACTTTAGGTATATATGTGTACAAAAAGGTATTCATTCTACGGTCACTGCGGTCTATAACAGTAACATCACACATATCTGGTCTTACATTATTTAAACTATCACTATAAAGAAGCCGAATTCACCTACTATACTTTAGTATTCGTGCTAGCTTGATGATGTATACTCATATCTGTAAACTAGTCTTTTCTTGTGGCCTTTACTTAACCAAGTGTGTACATATGTGTACAAAAATGTCTTCATTCTATGGTCAATACTGTTCTAAAAACGTAACCTTGTTTGTAAAGATTATGTCAACTCAAACAAGGACGAAAAATTAAAACACTCCAAGCAACCAACCCTTTGAGGTTGTGTACCACGTATCACAATATCCGGTCCCATATATAACATAGATACCCATCTAGCGATTATGAGATATGATTATGAAATATTCAAACCATCCAGACGAAATTATCTATATTTTGCCAGCAATTTTGCTAACGTTAGATAATTAGGAGAGTGCGAAACGTGGGATTGAGTACCGAAAGAATAATATTGAGAAGAATAATATTGTTTTTCTTGGCACGTATTTTCTGATTCAGGAAAAATGGGTGTAGCTTCAAAACATGACTTTAAACATACATAAACGCAAGAATAACACGACATGAAAACAATGTCAGAAAGTCGTCGGTAGCAATAGGTTATAAAGATTCAAAGTTGAGAGATTTCGCTTTGTAATATTGCAAAGGAATATCGTTGTTATATATAGCAAGATGTTCAGAATTAGAAACAAATAGCTTCAAAACACGATTAGAAAGTTTGCAGCAACGTAATCAACATTTAGTCATAAATACTGTCATTTGGTTGTCGGAAACAATATCTTATATATATCTCGAATGGAGGGATTTCGCCACGAGTGTACGCACAAGATATAGCAGGGAATACCATTGTTATATTTAGCAAAATGTTAAAAATTAGAATACATAGTTTCGATAAGTAATTAGCAGACGCGTAACCAACATTTAGTGAGAAACAATGTCAGAAAGTCGGCAATATTAATATGTTATAGACATCTAAACGGAAGAAATTTCACCACAAAATACTAGTATGCATAGTTATATTTAGCAAATGTTTTAGACTTTTAAAAGAATACAGGTATATAGTTTCTATAAGTGATTAGCAGACGTGTATCAGCGTAACCAACATTTAGTGCGAAACAATTTCAGATAGTCGGCAGTATTAATATGTTATGGATATCTAAAACAGAAGAGATTTCACGGTAAAATACTAGAAGGCACAGTTATATTTAGCAAATGTTTAGAATTTAAAAAGACTATATAGTTTCTATAAGTGATTAGTGAACGTGTATCAACGTAACCGACATTTAGTGAGAAATAATGTCAGAAAGTCGGCAGTATTAATATGTTATAGACATCTAAACGGAAGAAATTTCACCACAAAATACTAGTACGCATAGTTATATTTAGCAAATGTTTTGGACTTAGAAAAGAATACATGTATGTAGTTTGATAAGTGATTAGTTTAGCATGTGTATCAGCGTAACCGACATTTAGTGCGAAACAATGTCAGAAAGTCGGCAGTATTAATGGGTTCTACATATCTAGAATTGAGAAATGTCGGCCTTCGATCGGGGCAACATTCCTGCCCAACTCGGGATAACTGATATCGCCACGAGCCCCGGACCCCTAGCCTCTACCAGGCTTCGGGAGGCGGCTGGAAAGAGTAGAAATCGGACAAATAGAGAGATAGCATGCCAGGGGAGTTGGTCTGCTGGAGAGTACAGTTTGCCGTACCCAGAATGTTCTCTCCAGCAGACCAACTCCCTTGCCATGCTATCTCTGTATTTAGCCGATTTCTACTCCTTCCAGCCGCCTCCCGAAGCCTGGTAGAGGCTACCTACCCCCCCCCTCTATTCATGCCTTTACGGTAGGCTGTCAGCTGTCGGCATTTTTGGGGTCCCAAATACAGAAGCTCCAGTTGATGCAACATGTCAGACCCTGATACAAGCGCTGCGCGTGTGTGTCAGAAAGGGGTGGGGGGGGGCGAATGTGGTACGGCTTTAGAGTATTAAGAATATGAAAGACCTTTATTGTACTTTTGTGCTCTAACAAGCTAAGTACAGGTCATGAATCGACGGGATAAATAATACAGCAATAACACTTAAACTATACATACTCATGTGATCTACTATTTACAGGTTCAACTTCTCGCTTCTTGACGCAGTTATAGATGTACGAGCATATAGAACTAAAAATACATGGTTTGTCAACTTTCATAAGATATATGAATTTAGGGCTCGGTAACATTTGTGGGGCGATCGGACGAACTGGGGGCGTTCTTGTGTTAGTCGTGTGTGTGCTGCCTCAAATTCAAAAGAAGAAGTCAAACCTTATAATAGCTAGCGTAGTAGTATATGTTTTTCCAGACAGTAGTTGTCTGTCTCCTATTATTTATTGTGTTGTACCAAATACTAGTAGTATCTTTGACTGTAAAAGCAATTAGCCTTCGGGCATGATTTTGCAAATAAGGAATCTTATGTACACTAAGATTCAGCCGTCTTGTTAAGGAAAGGCTGTGTAAAATCCATGTCGGTCTTTGGTTCTGTCGCAGTTTGCTTGAAAATTAATCGATACCAAAAGCGTACAGCGAATATAATCGTGTCGTATAACATGTAACGTATAATCAGAAAATTGTAAAGGTCGTCATATATAAGTGGCACTAACATATGATAAAATGTAGCTATCGTCACATGTTATAACTTAAGTGGTCGCAGAAAATATATGCAAACCCTTGTAAGTTCTAAGTTCTATATAGTACGATTTAAGACAAGGGGTGTGGCTTGTGGTCAGACTATAAACATGTAACTGACATCCTCTTTGCAGAAATGGCTTTTAAGTACACACTGTTCACCAACTATTGAAATATAGCTATCAACAAGTAATGTTTTTAGGGTAAAGATATTCGCAATCACGTTTAAATTCTACTGCACGATATACATGTGTAGACTACTGTTTTTTTAGAAGTTGCTTCAGTGAGCCATGGCTACGGGATTTTATTTTAAGTCAATCCAATGACTAAAATAGCCGAGGTGTGCGTTGTGTCGTCTTTGCGGAAATGTCATATATAAATATGAACATCACAGATATCAACATGTAATGTCAGCTTGAAATATACTTTAACTCAACAATGATATGAATCTTTAGTGCATGTTTTTGTTCATGTTCTAAATGCACAAATGTAACCAAATGTGGTCGAGAGGATTAAAAAATATGAGTATTGCATACTGGAACGCTATATTCTAACGCTAAGTGCTAGAAGCTATATTACAACAATGGTATGACTTGAAAAAAGAAACAAGCTGTAAGATCGTCGAATAAGGCAAAATTAGAAATAACACATATTGGGGTCGTATGGCGTAGCGGCAGAGTGCTCGACTCGGAACCCAGAGGTCCCGGGTTCGAGTCCTGACAAGCCACCGATGTTGTGCCCTTGGGAAAGGCACGTCACACGACTTTTCTTACTTAACTCAAGTGAAAATGAGTATTGTCCCGTCCTGTATTCATCCTCTGCGTTGGTGGCGGCATAAAATAAGTTGATATAACTTGAGCGTGCCGTCACCATGTCTGGTCATGAAACGTTGGAATATGTAAAAAAAACATATGATTACGTAGCCGTAAAAGATTTAGAA